GCCAGGTCTCGCCCAATCTGTATTTGTGCCTTTGGTTTTTGCTACCTAAATGTAAGACTTTGCTTTTCTCCACATATCACTTGTTTAAAAATTAAAATGAATGCATATATGATGTAGTTACTGTATAAATTAGCAATATTACTATTAATAACAATAATAAATATAAGAACAGTAACCGTAGTAATAGAAAGACAGTGTTTGGTATCTTGAAATCCTTCCTGACCCCAGATAGTCCTTGACTTACAATCACAACTGAGCCTAAAATTTCTGTTGCTAGATGAGAAAGGTGTTAAGTGAATTTTGCCCCGTTTTATGACTTTTCTTGCCACAACTGTTAAATGAATCACTGCAGTTGTTATTAATACAGTTATTAAGTGAATGTGGCTTCCCCATTGACTTTGCTGGTCAAAACAATGATCACATGATCCTGGGACACAAATGCCAGTTGTCAAGCACTCGAATTCAGATCATGTGGATGCTGCAACAGTGGTAAGTGTGAAAAATAGTCATAAGTCGTTTTTTTCAGTAATGTAATTTCGAACAATCACTAAATGAACTATTGTAAGTAGAGAACTACTTGTACTAAGTTCATTGTATATGGACAGAAGTGAACTAACTTTACAAACGCTGAATCATAGTTGTTGGGAATTTCACAGTTGTGTAAATGTCTGCAAAATACTGTTTTAAAAATACTATGAATAAATTGCATAAAAAGTTTGATCTCTCTACCCTACATTTCCAGTATTTTTAATATCCCTTTTCATATTTATAGATCTTTAACCCTTGCTCTTGCATGCAGCTGCTGTATTAGATTTTTATTCTCCTATAGCGACAATCATAATATCTTTCAAGAAATAATCACAAATATGGGCAATTTATTAAAGAATGAATGCTGCAGTTGTCCTCTTTGACCATGAACTCCAAGCGTAACAGTATAATCACATAAATAATTCAATAAGTAAATATTTTTGAAAAAATCACACAATCAAAAATACTTGAATGTGACATTAGCCAGATCTTCCTTGTGAGACTATTAGAATCTGGGATGCTACTGACCAATAACCCTGGAAATAGCAAATCCAACTATTGAAGTTCATGATTATAGTTCAATTGGAAAAAGATGAAAAGAAATGAGAAAGGAAACACTTCCTGGAAAACAGAAAACATCTGCACTTACAGCTGTTGATTTTTTTAAAGTATTTAAATACATAATCAAATGAAATCCAGAAGCTTGACACAGACTAATTATTCAAAAAAAAAAAAAAAAAACCCTAAAGAAAACTGAACTCCCAACAATTTATAGTGCAAGTTTAATTCTATATAATTTTTTAAAGCGGAACATTTCTCTTTCCAAAGTACCCACAAAGGAAATACCCAAAATCATTATTACAGTATGTTATACAGCAGCATTTCAATACAATACACTAGTCTAACTTTGAGTACTTCCTTTGTAGGTAGGATAGGTGGATAGAGAGATAGAATAAATGGATCTTCATATAAATCTTGACTATTGGCTACTATGTGGTCAAGTCCATGCATTTTTTTTCTGCAACATTTTCAGAAATTTCCTTCTTCATAGGACTGAGAGGGAATGACAGGCTGAGTCACCTAGTTGGCTGTATGCAGAGATTTGCAAAGCTTTGCATTAGAGCAGGGGTAGGCAACCTTGGCTCTTTTATGACTTGTGGACTTCAACTCACAGAATACCTGAGTCAGCATGACTGGTTCAGGAATTCTGGGTATTGAAGTCCACAGGTCATAACAAGGTTGCCTACCCCTGCACTAGCAGAACACTTGGTGATTTAGGTCACAGACACCCTGAAAAGAAGCTACATCCTGAAAACTAACATCATTATTTTACATTGCATCTACTTTTTACAATATAAGAGGATGGCAAACAAGCAGATATCTTAGCCAATTGCTTAGCTAGGTTAAATTCTAGCAGGGGGTAGTTGAACAAAAATATAAAGACCAAGTATATAAGCAGCAGCATGTCCATTTTTCATGCTTGTTGTCTTTCTTGGTTTTCCATAGGACATAGAAACATGTTGTGATGCTGTTCCCTCCATTTCTTTTTGCACAGTGGAATCAATCACGGCTAGGCATTCTGCAAAATCCTCTATGCCCGGCTAGTGGCTGCTTACCCTGATTACTGCCTCTCTAACACAGCTGGCAATTGGAAGGTGATGGTTATTTTTTTGGCACAAAGCTCTGTGCTGACTCATGCTTTGGACAATTCTGTATAAAGCAGTGGTTCTCAACCTGTGGGTCGGAACCCCATTTGGGGTCGAACGACCATTTCACGGGGGTTGCCAAACAACGCAGTCCGCCATTTTTTTCCCATTTTCCTTAGCTGTGCTACTCCCTTTTATTCTATTGGCTTTTGAAAACCAATAGAATAGACTCTCTTGAATAGAGTCTAATTCTATTGGCTTTCAAAAGCCAATAGGAATTGTCCAGGCAGTCTCTGCCCTGCTGAGCCCGCCAAAAGTCCCATTCTGCAAATGGTGCTGCACCAGTTGAGTAGTCCTCGACTTACGACCGGTTGGAGGTCGCGGCATTAAAAAGGTTGAGAACCACTGGTATAAAGGGTATTAGTGGGGAAAGATTAGGGACTGCCTCCTGAGTCAGGTATATATAGCAATCAATTCTCTTCAACCAATGTCTTCAATATTATAGTCTAATAAGCAGCTTTGTGCCATAGCTCCCTTTATAACCAATGCATTTTAGAAAGAATAAGTAGTCATGTGACTACAGAAATTATTATTAGAATTAGAATTAAATTTCTGTTCAACAATCATTTGGGATTCTGAATCAGTTCTTCTTAAGTTATGGGTAACCAAATTAAGCTATATTACTTGGAAGCCAAACAAGACTTTTTATTACTTTATAACTAAATGCCCAAGAATTAATAAAACTTCCCTGCAAAAAACAAGCACTTAATATTCATGACTTCAAAATGTGTGGTTTCTTCTATATATGCTTTTATATTTGTATTCTGAACATTACCCACAAACACATGTGCTTTCTCAATGAAAAACAAATTCACTAGGTATGGTGCTGGAAATGTTATCAAAATCTCAATTTCCTATAATTACATGCTGAATATTTTATATAGGGTGCTACCTAATATTTATGTAAAGTCTGGGAGACATATAGCACTATCTGCACAAGAGTAGTTTACCTACCCAAGTGAGCTGTTTGCAAATATCATAGCATAATTACATAGAATACACAGTGCACTTAAAGAGCAGACAAATGAACAGAAGGATATGGGGAGCATTGGGGAATTTTATTCAAATGCATGTGGACTCTGAGCTATTATTAAGCAGTATCTAATTTTAGTACTATTAATTTCAACTTCTAGATTGAACTGAATTAACTAATGACTAAAACCAGAATACCTAGTTATATAACAAAGATGCAGGAATGGAATAGTTTCCATAGAAGGATCAATTATAACTTCCAGTACCAGAGTTCAGAGTTTTCTACGACCTTTCCACCTATTTCAAAGCTACTTTTAAAAAGAAATACACTTGCGTCCAGTGGTATATTTAACAGAGCATGTCCCCTGTTTCTTCTGGAGCAATTCTTAGAATTCCAGTGAGAGATCTATGTTGTTTTAGGATAATATGTTCAGTTCTACAGTCCCTCCTAAAAAGCCCTCCAATTGAACATATGCAATCCTTATTATGTGGTTTTTGTCACACTATTACCAAATTCTGAAAATATGGGTTTTCCTGCAGATCTCCTTAAACTATTGTGTTTATATAATGCTCTTTTTTATACATAAACATCTTCACACAAAGAAGTCATTACTGTATATGATAGTTGGTGCAGTACTATATGAACCTATATTCTAGAATGTAAGCTTTTCTATACCAGGTTGTGAATGTTTTGAAATTGTCATGAAATAAGAATAAAGTCTGTCATGCTGATGAAATATAATAATCTTAGTATACAACTAAGCATCCAGAATGATAGTCCCTGGAAAAAATGCCAATTGAGATTCCCCACCTTATTTTCTTTGAACTGTACTAACAATGTTATAAAACCACCAAAGTTAAATATAGAGCAACAGAGCATTTGAGTATATGCCACAACCCTCCCCAATCATCTATTTTTACAGATACATGATGCAGGTCATGACACAAATTATGTACAATCATGTAATTTTTTTATTTAAAACCTTTTATAAAAAATCAAGCGTAGAGAATCTGTAGCACCCAGGGAATTGTTAGGAGTACATGGGTGTCCGTAGGAAGAACCTTAACTAATTCTGTTGTACTTGCAAAGATTTTGTAGACAAAATTTCTACAAATTAAGAGATTTTCAGCCAATAAAATAATGGCTTGGAAAATTTAAATTATGTGAGCATTATTGTATCGGTTAGGCTTAAGAGCCAATGAAACTGCTGTGTTAAGAGGATTTAAAAGGAGGGGGATTTCTGGATAGCAGGGATAAGGGTGATGTTTCTCCTTTTACAAAGGCTTTATATATATGACTACATAGTTAATTTACGAATGCTTTTCAAAAATAAATCAAACCTCTACAACATACGAAGCCATAAGCTACCACAGACAAGATTAAACAAAACTTTACTATAGTTTGTGGCTCAAGATGCTCTTGGACACAGTCAAAGTATTAACACTTATGACACTTTCCCCCAATCTTTTCCCCTTTTACAACAATAAGAAAAGACTGAATTCTTCAACCTTCTATGACAAAGCATGATGATTATAATCAATATATCCAGGTGTCACTTGGTTAGGGAGGGCTGCTTTGTAACATTTTAAAATTGTACCAACATTAGTAATGCACAAATGCATTAATTAAGAAATGAATAGGTTCTACAACAATTTAATAATATTTATAATTTTGTGTATTCCAGTAATGAGATCTTGGTGCCCATAAAATAAATAATAATGGAATGGTAGGCAATTTCAAACAAACAAAACAAAAATGTAAGAAGCTAGATTAATGTTCAAGTAACTAATTACCTGATAATTTCATGAGAAGTTCAGATGCTGCTTTGACTGACATATCCTGTTGCATTACATTTGCTGGCACTTCTTGTGGTTTGAGAGTCTCCTTAGGAATACTTGGAGCAGATACTTCAGGTTCATGACTAAAACCGTAACTGGTTTGAGACAACGTGGAGCTTGCACTGTCCTCATCTTTCGGTTCTTCTTTCACTTTAAATGTGGGCGTCAAGGGTTCTTTTTGATTTGCAGCTATTAGAAAAAGGGGGAACAGTAAAAGGAAATGCATGAATATAAAATCAGTTCACAAGAGAAAGCTAAACATGGGCAACAATTGGGGAAATCGTATGCCAGGAAATCTAATTGAGTAACTTAGGAGAGGTCCCAAATTTTGATATATTTCTCCAGTATTTTTCTTTTCTTAAAAATATCTTCATTAAATTAAAAAAAAATTAAAACACATATTTTTCCTACTATCCCTTTCTTTGTATAACTCACAGAAACTTTGGTTCCTGTGGCAAATATGTTAAAAGATAATTTGCTAGGTTTGAGGGCAACAAAGAAAACAATTAAAAAAATGTATGGTTTCAAATAACCATCTCAGATTTAAAATCCTAGACTTTCGAGCTTTAAACTAACCCTTTATAAAATGCAATGGAAAGTGATCAATTCTGCATAGTGAATTTGTTGTTTAAGCTGCCTTATAATATTATATCATTTTATATATAATTGTGTTGTACGTTTATAGAGATTGTAACGTATTGTCTTATTTTTTCTTATTTCCAGAAGTCAACTGAGTAGGTCACAAATGGTGATCATGTGACCCCAAAATATTAAACCCATCATAAACACATGCTGGTTGCCAAATACCTGAACTTTGATTGTGGATGGGAATGCTGTGATGGTCATAAGTATGAGTTTGTCATAAGCCACTTTTTCAATTCTGTGGAAATTTTGAACAATTGCTAAACAAATGGTTATAAGTCAAAGACTCCCTGTCTAGTCCTTCCTTTCCAAGGGATGACCTGAATCTAAGGTAATTCTGTAAAAAGTTAGAAAAAGCTGCTCTAAAACCTGACAATGGTTCATCCAATTTACAATTTTGAGAGCTTCTTATATATAACTCCAAGCTAACTAGCTAACTCTAGCCCGAATAGGGGCTATAGGGTCATAAAAAGGGTTTGTGTGTTGTGTGTATCTATTTGTGTATATACATATATGTATTCATATTAGTTTTTTGTGTGAGTGCTTGGAAATTTTATGACCTTTTATGACTAAAGATCCTCAATACTAACCACAATAAATCCATATAAATCCATATAAATAAAATAAAATAAAATAAAATAGAGCTCCCTACAGGTTATTCCTACACAAAGATAGCACACTGAAATAATTTGCCAATTTTTCTTGTCATCCATTCCTGACATGCTTACAAAAATAATAAAAAGTCTTTCTACTCTTTTGTCCAGCAGAACAAAAGCAACATTTTGTGCTGATTGATAGCAATAAATATACCTTAGATGCTATGGCTGAAATACTTTAAAAGGCATTTATGACCATCTCATTCAACACATCTCTATTTCATAAATTAAAAGAGAGGTGTCCAGCTCACAAGCATCTTCAATATCAGCACTCAAGCTCAATCAAGTTAGTCATATTACCATACCTATAGCATAGAGATAACAGATTGATGATTTTCAGCTTCCAATATTTAAATATAGATTTAATAGACATTTATAGAAGAAAATAGTAGTAGTAGTGGTAGTAGTAGTAGTAAAGTTGGAAGGGATCTTGGAGGTCATCTAGTCCAACCCCCTGCTCAGGCAGGAAACCCTATACCATTTCGGATAAATGGCTGTCCAGTCTCTTCTTAAAAACTTCCAGCGTTGGCGCATTCACCACTTCTGGAGGCAGTGGTTAATTGTTCTAACTGTCAGGAAATTTATCCTTAGTTCTAGGTTGCTTCTTTCCTTGATTAGTTTTCACCCGTTGCTTCTTGTCCTGCTTTCAGGCGCTTTGGAAAATAGCTTGATTCCCTCTTCTTTGTGGCAGCCCCTGAAACAGTATTTGTGGCAGCCCCTGAAATAGTATTTCAATATCTGGTGTTTTATAAAGTTATGAACCTCTCAGGATGCCTATGTGTGAAATTGTCTTCAGAGTCCCAATTACTCACAAAACTGACAGAGCACATATATCCTTTGGGACAAGAACTATCAATGACCCATCTATGGATTCCTCAAGCAATGCCTTCAGGGCAGCATAACCAGACTGTCCCAATCTGACTTGGCCCTGGTATTTTTTTTCTTTTTCATTTCTTTAATTGCCCTTGCTATTTTGCTCATTTGCAGAGCAGCCTGCAGTACATCAATCTGAGCCAAAGGAACTACTTTTCTCCAATAAGCCGACAGAGAATTATCCTCAGAGTCTTTCTGCTACTCATGTTTTTGTTTGTTCATATAATAATAAATGGAAATGTTTCTTTAAAAATGTTGCTAGCAAATCTCTCAAGTCCACTAAATAAAACATTGTTTTATGGGAAGGATCTATTAAGTATTGCCATGTTGGTTCAATGCATAATTTCGTAAGTTATTTTAGACACATATTGTTCTGATCAATGGATTTAATTTCTTCCTTTAACCTAACATCTTTCCCTTGTGTGGCACTGACATATCTACTAACTTTAGATTTTCATCTAAAAGATATATCTCACTCCTTCAGTGACTTTATAACATGTTGCTAGGTAACAGTGCACACAAGTCAAGTTTGAGGACCTTTTTGTTAAAGACACTAAAAAAATGCTTCGGTCCTCTTTGCATGAGAGATCTCATCTGGGTCCTTCATATTTCTGTTTGCTAAGCACTACAGAACAGCTTATCAATTTCTGAATTAAAAAACAGGCAACAAAAGAGAAGATATATTCAGTTTTCAGTTTCTCTTATTTCTTTCTCCATGCAAAATTTGTTTTTATATCTATTTCAAGCCGTGTTATTCATTTAGTACATATAAAGCACAACCTAATATCATATCATTTAATTTATGGCATGAACTTAAAACAATATAATTTAAAATATTGGGTAAATATAACAAAGAAGTTACAAACTGATTATTGGTATAAGCGTGGCTTTAAAAAAGATCAACATCTTAAGAGAAATCATTTCCCTTTCTTCCAAATCAGTGTGCTTTAAGAGAGGAAAATATCAACATGTTTCTAACTTTCTCTAATATATCTCTATGGAATTTACTCTTTGCAGGCATTTTATAAGACTGTACCTTGAAAAAGCTAGAATAAAACATTTCATTAATTCCATCATTTTCATGTTTCTCAGAACTGCATTCATTCAGTTTCTTTTATTCGTGGTTTTTCTTTCCACCCTTCCATCCTATGTTTATTCCACCCTGGAGTAAAAGGATTAAGAGCATATTGAAAGACTCAACCAAATTCCTATGTGATCTCCACTACCTTGTGTACTTGGCAGTTACTGGGGAAAGGGCCTTCCCAGAATGCTGAGGAATGCTTTCACTACAAAGGTTAGCAAAGCACCTACCCGGATGTCATTTTATAAATGTCAGGCAAATAATTTTGTAAGTTTTTACATCCTGTAAATCAATTTAAGCTGTTTCATTTTGCTAGTTGTTTCTATTACATATTTTCTGTTTTCATTGCATTTTTGAAGTGCTTTAAACCATCCAAAGCATTTTAAATGATCAGACTATAAATATAGAACAGAACAACCTTAACACTAGCCTCTTTGGCCCAGCAAAATGGGAGAAAGCTGTTCATAGTGAAGGAGCTGAAGAATGCAGTTACCCATGTTTAGCAGTAGAAGTAGAAGAGCTTAGATACTGTGATCAAACATTTCCTTAAGTCTACTCCGGAATCTCCATTTATGTTATTACTGCTGAAAGCATTACAATTTGTCTTTCCTTGGCCGTAAGAAGAGTCATGAAAATGCTTCTTATAACCATCACTTTATTCTGCAATTGGGGGAGAAAGGGGAAGATATCCCATACTGTAGCTCCCTGAGAAACTTTTCTCATCCTCAGGACAAAAACTGCATTTTAAAGTGAATTAATAGATATAAAATATCAGTGAGGAATTACCAAAGAAAGGGTTGTATACATTCTGATCCTCTAATTCATTTAGCATTCACATTTACTGAGATGCAGCGTACATAGGTGATCAATTAATGTCCACTGAAAAGGGCATTGTCAGTCTTCAAAAGTATGAAGAGCTACAGAACAAACTTCACAAATATCTTTTCTCTATACAGCTTCTGAAATTTTTTTGGCCTTAAATCACAGATTTTTTTTCTTTCTTTAGTAAATGTTGAGTGAGGAAATAGTAAGAAAAATCCTAACCGTGGAGGCATAGAGAAGATTATAGCCTTTTTTTAAAGTAACATAAATGTTACGTAAAAGTTTTGAATATGTCAAGAAACAATGTATGCACCTTACTAATAAGAGTATTGTAATGACAGATATTCAGTATGCCATCGATGATACCCTGACACATGTGTCAGTAATCTCTCTGGCTGTAGCTTCAGGATTCACCTAAGATTATTAGTGTAAGTGCTGCTGTGTTGTTACAACAATCGAAAATAAAACTATTCGTTTTAAAAAATGCTCAGATTCGAAAGCTAGAATCTATCCACCAATTTATTTCCAAAGCAGTATTACAGAGCAACCTGAGTCTAAGTAGCCAGTATGACTAGACGTTGCCTGAACCCAGTTGAAATTGTACTACTGTCCATCATAACCTCAATAATTTCTGCAACTAGATTCATTGGGAGATTAGGAACCAAGTCTATACTCCCACTGTAATATGTCCTTTTACATGTAAAAAAATGGGAGTAGTTAAAAGTCAATTAAAGCTTACTCAACCAGTTTCAGAAGTGAATTAGTTCAACTTTCAATGCAGAGGTTTCAGAGTTTCCTTTGGAGCTGCAGGGTGAAGTAGTTTCCTATTGGTAGGAACTTTTGTTTTATCCTGTTTCTGGGTTGTCTCCCTTTTCAAAAGCCAAGGTATCATGGTACCTTGGCTTCTTTCTATCCTTGCTACAGAAACAGCTGAGATTCATTTCTATCCTTGGAAACAGAAACAGCTGAGATTCATTCTCAAAAAACAGAACAGGGGCACAAAAACACTCTTATCATTTCAGGGGAAGTACAATGAACACACTGAGGTTCATTTCTGAATCAACAAATATTTGAAGTGTTTAATAAAGCAATCTGCATACATTCCTATAGCAAACTCTTTACTTGTTCTTCTTGGAGTAATACTGAGATTTAAATTTAGCTACTCTGTGAATTTTGTGCTTCTTCAAATGTTATGATAAAATTCTTGGCAATATAAGCTTAGGTGCTTTTAGATGCAACCCACAGTGTAGAGAATCTTTAGGGCGCAAAGTGTCCACTACAGTGCACAGCTACCAAAATAGTTATGTTAGTTGATAGGATCAATTGTAGACATTCATTCACCAAATAATGAACTATATTCCTAAGAAACTCTCTCCTAGTGCTGTGGGCCACTGGTGGCATCCAAAGGCAATCCTGAAAATAATTATGTATATATAATGCATTATTTTGAGAGAAAATAGCATTTAAGACATGGGTGTCCAACATTTTGGCTTACTTGGGTCACACTGAATGAAGAGTAATCTTTTTGGGCTTCATATAAAATACATAATATAGTTTTATATATAAAATCACATAATAATGTTAAATGTTTGTGGGGCTGCATTATTAGTTGTCTAAACTGCATGAGCCCCTCCAGACTATGGATTGGACACAGCTGATTTAAGATGCCGGGAAATATATTTTAATAACCTGAAGAGACTATTATTTCCATTGTATAAAAAAAAGTGTAAGAAAATGGCCCGACCTAGAGAGAAAAAACTTTGGTTTATCTTTACCTGAAAGTTTCATGAGAAAATCTGAAGCCATCTTGACCGATATATCTTGACTGAAAAGTGCTGATGCTGTATTGGTCACAAAGTCAATTGAGTCTTTTAGCTTTGTACTGTTGGCAATTCTGTCAACAACATTGAGGGCTAAAGAGGGGCTAGGGGCACTGCTGTCATCTTTGGGTTCTTCTTTGACTAGCAGAGATGGAATGATAGTTCCCACCTGCCCAAGTGCATCAGGAGATCTAGAGGCAGCAGTAGTCCCTACATGGTCTGTTCCTCCATCCACCTCCTGACCCATTCTGGAGTTATCACTCAGTAGTGGTGAGACCTTGACATCCATTTCTGGAATCTCTTCCTTCACTTTGGCTTCTGTCCTCAGAAAGTGTTGGTGGCAACGCATGTGGAGTTTCAGACTGAAATGGCGAGAGGAAGTAAATGGACACAGCTGGCACTGAAATGTCTCTCCCCGGTCCTGGTGTTGGTGAACCTAATTCAGTAATAACAACAACAGTGATAACAGCACATCTCTCAGATAAATACAAATCCCTTGTTAAGATCATAGAGATCTGCAAATAAATTGTATAGATAGAATCTTATAAGGACTGTGCGTAGATAAAAAAGTGTCAGTAGAAGTTATGTATATTCAGTAAACTGATATTCTAATATACTCTATTACTGTACAATTCTCATAAAATTCAATTGACAAAATCAGTGATAAGAAGATTATGGGAGTTATCATCTAAGGTACATATATAGAGCATCAGGCTAGTTACCACTTACTGATTTATCATCTCCCTTCTTGCCCTGATTTTTTTTTTTACATGTTCTGTACATTTCATTTGAGGATCTCAATGTTTTAACAGAGAAGGTCAGCATATAAAGCTCAAAGTGGTTGTCCTTCTATATACAAGTTATTAAACACCAGACTACAAAGCTCATTGTTTCCCAAGTTATGTCCAAAAACAAGTATTTCCTAGGATGTGTGTGTATGTGCGTGTGTGTGTGTGTGTATGTTTTCTAAGGTTTTCGCGGGTGTTTGTATGTAGGTCTTTGTTTGTTCAGGTTTTCTCCCGCGTAAAATTGGAAGTGTCTTGGCGACGTTTTGACGAAGTCCCATTCGTCATCTTCAGGCTGGTGTTTTCAGCTTCGTGCTTCGAGGAGCAATGTGTGGTCTTAGCTGTTTCTTCCTTTTAACTGCCAGTGGGGGTATGAACTGATTGGATGGGAGCTTGGCTGTGTTCTGATTGGGTGGAGGCGTGTTCTGATTGGTTAGAGCACAGAGCACAGCCAACCCCCCAGCCAATCAGAGCACAGCCAAGCCCCTAACCAATCAGAACACACCTCCACCCAATCAGAACACAGCCAAGCTCCCACCCAATCAGTTCATACCCCCACTGGCAGTTAAAAGGAAGAAACAGCTAAGACCACACATTGCTGCTCGAAGCACGAAGCTGAAAACACCAGCCTGAAGATGACGAATGGGACTTCGTCGAAACGTCGCCAAGACACTTCCAATTTTACGCGGGAGAAAACCCGAACAACCAAAGACCTACATATATATGTGTGTGTGTGTGTGTGTGTGTTTTCTGAGGTTTTCGCAGGTGTTTGTATGTAGGTCTTTGGTTATTCGGGTTTTCTCCCGCGTAAAATTGGAAGTGTCTTGGCAATGTTTCGACGAAGTCCCATTCGTCAAGCTGGTGTCTGTGCTTCGAGGAGCAATGTGTGGTCTTAGCTGTTTCTTCCTTTTAACTGCCAGTGGAGGTATGAACTGATTGGGTGGGAGCTTGGCTATGTTCTGATTGGGTGGAGGTGTGTTCTGATTGCTTAGGGGTTTGGCTGTGCTCTGATTGGATGGGGGGTTGGCTGTGCTCTGACTGGATGGGGGGTTGGCTGTGCTCTGATTGGCTGGGGGAGTGTTCTGTTTGGGTGGGGGCTTTGTTGTGCTCAGGTTAGTCTGAGTTGCAAACCCCTCCTCCCTCACAGCCACACATGAAACAAACAGTGCGTAACATCTCAGATAGGATCCTCACCAAAGCCAAAACCAATGTCCTTTCCAAAGGATTCAACTTTGCAGTCACTCCCAAACACATCCCCACTGAAACCATTATATGTGGAGTTGAAACCAGCCTGACCAAAATCAACCCCAACAACGCTAACAGAATCAGACTCGAAATCACCAACATCCTCTGCACCAGCAAGCCACCCAAAAGCAACTTACCCAAAGAGGAACAGACAGCACTACGTAACCTGAAAGAAGACACCAGCATAATAATCCTACCAGCAGACAAGGGCAACGCCACGGTGGTTATGAACACATCTGACTATCAAACCAAATTAACCAACCTACTCCAAGACTCCACATACAAACCCCTAAACACAGATACCACCACCTACCTGGAAAAAACCACCACATCCAAAATAAAAGCCTCCCCCATTAACGAAGAGATCCAGCAAAGAATCATTCCCAGAGAGAAATCATCCAGATGCCCCAAACTCTATGGTCTCCCCAAGATACACAAGGAAGGAACCCCACTCAGACCCATAGTCAGCTCCATAGGCTCACCTCTACAAAACCTAGCCAAATTTCTCGCCAAACAACTACAGCCCTATGCAGAATCCATCACCTCACACATAAAAAACTCATTCCAATTTATAGAGATCATAAAGAAACAAAACTTACAGCCCAGCAACCTACTCGTGAGCTTCGATGTCATATCCCTCTTCACCCAAGTGCCTATCAAAGAAGCCTTGACAGCTATCCAAAACAAATATAACCCCCCCAAACACATCTTAGATCTGACCAACCACTGCCTATCCAACACATACTTCATCTATAATGGACAAAAATACAAGCAAACAGAAGGAGCACCCATGGGATCACCCCTCTCACCTGTCATTGCAAACCTCTACATGGAACACTTTGAAACCCAAGCTCTAGAAAAATCGGATCACAAATCCAAACTCTGGCTCAGATACGTAGATGACACCTTCATAATCTGGCCACATGGGAAAGAAAAACTGGACAACTTCCTCACACACCTCAACAGCCTACACCCCAAAATACAGTTCACCATGGAAACAGAAGCTAACAACCAACTTCCCTTCCTGGATGTCTTAGTCTACAAGAAATCCAATGGCTCCCTAGGACACACCATCTACCAGAAGAAAACACACACAAACCGCTATCTGCACGCTCTCTCACACCACCACCCAGCACAGATCAACTCTGTAGCCAAGACACTCATCTCCAGAACAAAACGCTTAGCTGACGAACAACACCTAAAACCCGAACTACACACTCTCACCAATGTACTAACATCCAATGGATTCCATAGAAATAAGATTACAAACCTAATCCAAAAAGAAACCCCCACTAAAATCCAAGACAAAGAACAAGAAAACGGCAAAGCCCTCCTCCCATACATAAAAGGCACCACAGACAGAATCAGTAAGATCCTCCATAAACACAACATCAAAACAGCATTCTGCACAAACAGAAAAATATCCACCATCCTAAGAAACCCCAAAGATAAAATTGAGTTAGAAAATCAAGGAGTATATGAAATCCCATGCACTGCTTGTCCCAACACATACATCGGACAAACCAACAGAAGAATAAGTGCACGCATTGAAGAACATAAGAACTCAGTCAAAAAAGAGGAACCAACATCTTCCCTGGTCCAACACCTTAAAGCCACAGGACATGAAATTGACTTTAAAAATACCAGAACCATTGCCAAAAGTGAACATTTTAATAACAGAATAATCAGAGAAGCCATCGAGATAGAAAAACGCCCACACAGCATGAACAAACGAGATGATACCTCCTGCCTACCATCCATTTGGAAACCCGCCCTTATTGACAAACGATTCCCTAACACAAAGAATGACACCAGACCCACACTCACTAAAACCACACAGGATGTCACCACCACACATCCACGCAAAAAGCAAACCCAAAGCCACATCGATGATGAGGCGCGACCACAAACCAGAAGCCAGACCACAGCTGCATCATTAGCCACTTTAAACCCCTCCAATCTTAAAACCCCCTGCAACTCAGACTAACCTGAGCACAACAAAGCCCCCACCCAAACAGAACACTCCCCCATCCAATCAGAGCACAGCCAACCCCCCATCCAATCAGAGCACAGCCAAACCCCTAACCAATCAGAACACACCTCCACCCAATCAGAACACAGCCAAGCTCCCACCCAATTATTTCATACCTCCACTGGCAGTTAAAAGGAAAAAACAGCTAAGACCACACATTGTTCCTCGAAGCATGAAGCTGAAAACACCAGCCTGAAGATGACGAATGGGACTTCGTTGAAACGTCGCCAAGACACTTCCAATTTTATGTGGGAGAAAACCCGAATAACCAAAGACCTACACACACACACACACACCTGTGTGAGTATACACACACACACACACACATTTAAAGACAAATTATTAGATGATGTCTCAAAGATAGTAATAGTTAGATCAGTACTTTTATGATTATAACATCATAGAGTTGGAAAGGCAATTTAGATACCAAATCTACTTCATTGCTCTATATAAAAATTCACATTCAAACAGTCTTGAGAAACACCTATTACCCTCTGTTTGAACAAATGCAACAAAGTGAAGCCCAATTCTTCTGCTAGACAAAATGAATTTATAACAATCATATTAATTATGAAAAATATACTGCCTTTCATTAAGAATTGCTTTAAAATCCTCAACAGCAATTTTAGAGATTAAATTTCTTAAATGCTAGAATTTACCAGTCTTACCTTCATATGTGACTTCAAATTGTCTTTCCGTGCACAACGAAATGGACACAAAGGACACTGATGACTTTTTAAGCCTGTATGGATCACCATGTGCCGTTTCCAGTAGCTCTTCCTTTTTATAACCAAGCCACAGATTGGACATTGGAAAGGTTTTCCACTTTCTTCTTCTGAGGCTTGGAAAAAAAAGAAAAAAGGAAGGAATTTATCATGAATTTATTTCCATTTTACAGTTTTTCAACTTTATGACAAACTGAGTATTTTTTTCAAAATTTTCAGGTACCTTTGGATACAGAACTTTTAAGCCATTTATTACACCTATTATAATCTTTTAAATCTTATTAAAAGCAGTGGAATTTTAATCCCTATTTTTCTGACATGGAAATCAAATGATCCAAAAAAACAAACAAACCCGATACTAAACGATACAGGACGGGGCCCAATCATACTTTGAACAACCAGCAGAGGATGCTACTGTTCTTTACCTAGTCTTATAATTCACAGCTAATTTGTCAGCTCTTGATGTATGTAACATTATAAAAGTGTCTTTTTTCACTTTAGTATTTGCAATCCACCAAGAAACAATAAAATAACATTATCAGGTATCCCCAAATCTGACTTAAGACCAGAATTAAGAGAGTGATATATTCTAGTATTGAGAGATTCCCAAATCACTCTTGATGATTGGTTTCATCCTGAAAAATCTAAGACCTCAATTTCATTTCAGATAAAGAGACAGTATTTAGTTTTTGTTCAACTGTTTTATTAGTGCAGTAATGTTGAAAAAATTAACTTGAGCCAAAGGCAACACAACACAGCCCAAGAATCTCTTTGTGTGTAGATAAATATAAATAATTGATTTTAGAGTAATTTAAGCAAGCTAAATTTAATACCTCTAGCTAAAGGGACTATATAATTTTTTTTTAATTTTTATTTTAGATCAACAAAACAAAACACAACAAAACATTACACACATACACACGTAATATATCCTTTTTTGTTAACAGCAATTTGTAACAGTACTCTTCTATTATTTACATTTCCCCCCTCATTCCTCTTTGAAATATTTGTCCTTATTGCCCCATTGTTTCTTATTTACGTTTTCCTTCTTTCATATTCTACTACTCACTAGGAATAATTCACATTATTATTATTATAATACATTATTATACACATATCGTCTCTACCAACACCTCATTTTAAATTTCCAACATAATTCATTGTAGTAACTCTCGTATTTTTTATAAGACTCGACCGGAATTCCATCTAGGCCTGGTGATCATGCAAATATTCTCATAGTCCAAATCCACTAGCTTCTTATATACCTTATTTTTTTAAAAGATTCACGTTAATTATTATTTAGTGCATATACTATTTTTACTCTAATACTATTTCCAACATTAAAATTCACCCCTTTTCATCCAAGTATATTGATTTTTTTATTTTTTCTTTGACATATATAATAATTCCTCCTTTCTTGTTTTATGCTAATATTGTGTATAATGTTTCTAAATTTTACTTTCTCTAGTAATTTTCTATAATCCTATTTTATATAAACTTCCTAAAGATACATCACATCTACATCCAATTTCCTTAAATTGTTAAACGTTTAAACTCTTTTTCTTGATATATTTAATCCATTAATGTTTACAGAAAAGAGCTTAATTATGTCTCCCATTTTTAACTTGATCTATTTTTTTGTTTTTATTTTGTTTTATGCTTCTTGTCTCTATAAGTCTTCCTTTTGCTTCTCTTTCTAACCTTTCTCTTTCTTGTAACTTTTGTATTTCTCGCTTTCGATCAACTTCCTCTAATAGATCTTCATCATAACTTTTACTCTCCGGCTCTTCCCTACTTTCTTGTTCTTCTCCTTGTGAAAAGTAACTCTCATAAAAGTCCTGTGCCTTTCAAGTGTATCTATCTTGTATTTTTTTTCCTGCCATGTTAAAAGTATGACTTCAGGTATTAACCAACGAAACATCACTTTATATTTAATTAATTGAGTCGTTAAAAATTGGTATTCTCGTCTCTGATTTCATATACTACGTGGTATAGGGACTATATAAATTGCTGCTTCTTTTTCATGGACAATGGTGCTAAAATAATCAAAGAGGATTTATATCAGAGAAAATTTTCATCCTCCTTCTTTATGTTGGTCTATTGAAAATCTAGAATAGAATCCTGCAAATTGGCCCTCAACTAGTAGAGTGAAGAATTCACTTTACCCACATTAAGAATTCATTTTACATTTTAATGTAATGAAGTCTCACCCAACACTAGTTTCTGCAACAATGCTTACAGTGTCAAGCTTAGCCCGGAACGGTTTTCTTTATACTTCCTGGATAACTTAAAAGTAAAGTTCTTTGAAGATATTCCAAGAAAACTAACATTGAAGTGTCTCTCTCTAGTTTATTACAAAGCAGAACTAGAAATTTTAACTTTTTTATCTCATATACAAAGGCAAAAGAAAACCATGATCTGCCTTTTCTTTTAGCCCAGGTCAAATTGGGATTTTCATCCATTTTGTGGCCAATATATCACAAATGGACTGAATTAATTAGTATGTAATATTAATCTAGATTGCAGTATAAGCAAGACAAGCCATAACATCTAACTCTTTGTATTTAACTATAAACCCCAATGTAATCTGTTTTTGACTTAGCATGTGTGAAACCACCTGTTGTGGAACAGTAATGAGAATGTTGATATGTAATATTGACCTCTAATATAATCATCATGAAAATATTAAATTCATATGAACATTCTTGCTCTAAGTTGTTATAAAATTTGGGGGTGAGTTTGCTGTAAGATTTTGCCAACTCTCGGGGATTTTATGCCATTGTGTAATATTCAAATCAGTTTATTACAGCCATATGGCCAGAAACAGTAAAATATCCAATTGTATGCTACTTACATACGTATATAAAAATGCACTGAGCATGATCTAATGATGAATAAGAACACATATAACAAAATTAATTTAAAAATTATTAAAAGGATCTAACAGTATTTATCTTATTTATGTTTCCGACGAATTCCCAGTGCTGCTGTGCAGAATCTAGCCATCTGCGCCGTAATCACAGCCTATTCGTCCTTAAGCAACCACTGGAGATAAGTAGCGTCAGAACAGCACAGATACCTATCAATTATTGAGAGGATATGGTTTTTTCAAATATCTCTATAGAAAGAGCATTGAAGGAGTATGTGTCCAACAGTCTCCACCTCTCCTGAGCCACACGAGCAGTCTTTCAGTCAATGGTATTACTTGCCGTACAGGATGGCCGATGGAAGCACATGGCACCGTGCAAATGAAAATGCTTTCCGGTAGTTTGCTGACTCCAACTTGCTAAGATAACTGGCAGGAGTAGCAACATATCTAACAAAAGTCTGGAGCCAGAAACAGCGGAGCTATCCCTAAGTCCGTTTGCCTCTCGATGTCCTCTACTCTTTGTTGCAAGATTTGTTTTGCTTGGTCATACTCCAATTTGAGAACTGAGGCTGGAGAGAAGCCTAGTTTGGTAAGGTTGGACTCGACTGCCTTGATCCATGATGTGGAAAATTTGTCTTGGAGGATTAATGGAGCAAGGCCTTGAGGAAAAAAATTAAGCTTTAGCCAGATAGTTAAAGAAACTATACAAATTCTTGCTTCAACTTTTATCAATCCTGTGTAATATTGTAGCATAGTAACTAGGGCCAGAAAAAGTTGCTGATTCATGCATCAATTAACCATTTAATTGGGCATATTCAAATTACATGAATCAAAAGGAAAAAAACTTTCCAAACTCTTGTTTTAATAGACTGATTTATATACAGTTAGTCCTCGACTTATGACCACAACTGAGCCCAAAATTTTTGTTCTTAAGTGGAACATTTGTTAAGTGAATTTTGCTCCATTTTATTGACCTTTCTTGCCACAGTTGTTAACTGAATCACTGCAGTTGATAAGTTAATAACCCAGTTGTTAAGTGAATCTGATTTCCCCATTGACTGTGCTTGTGAGAAGATCGCAAAAGGTAATCACATGACACTGGGACACAGCAACAATCGTACCAGCTGCAGAGCATCTGAATTTTGATCACATGATCATGGGGATGCTGCAAAGGTCATAACTGTGAAAAATGGTCATATTTTTCAGTGCTGTTGTATCTTTGAATGGCAACTAAATGTTGTAAGTCAAGGACTACCTGTATTATTATGATAATTTACTTCTGATTTTATTTTTACAAATAGAACCTATGTATTAAGTTTTGCCTTTATATATGAGGCTATTATATACCATTGTTGCAAACAATATCAAGACAAAGGATAGTCTGGAACTAGATGAAAAAGTGTAATAAGTTTATGAAATAATCATTAGGTTAAGTCTTCTAAAGAGATGTGAGGATTCTGCCAACTGCATTGACATAATTAAGCATCTGACAATACACTGCACATTTCTAGTTCTGTTTAAGTTTATAATGTTACTGTAGCAACAGAAAATAGTTCTGTGACTGCTAAAAGGATATCTGATTATTTTCAAAACTTTCAAAATCCGAGGCATACTCTCAGAATATTAAAATCTAATGCCTAATGCATTCATTAGCTGTTGGTCTTACTTGAAAAACTGAAATGTTACTAGTTCTAATGTTCTGGAATTAAGTGATAAAAGCTGCATGTTCTCATAAATTACTGCATGTGCTAACCTATAAAGAATGCTTTTATGATCTAGCAATAGCAATAGCACTTAAACCTATATACTGCACCTCCCCATAGTGCTTTACAGCACTTTCTGGTGGGTTACAACATCAGTATATTGCTTCCAACAGTCTGGGTCCTCATTTTTCTTAAATTTTATTTAAATTTAAGTACTTTATTTTTTTAAATATTATCAGAGTAAGAAACAGTAAAATCTGGCTTAGCATCCCTATATATTACTTATCATGGACATCTGCTACAAAATAATTTTGTCGCTAAAAGGATATGATGACACAAATTCCATCCTTACGTACTTGCAGCTAATGTACATTTCTTTGTTGCACTCCTTCATGGACACCTATATACACATTCACTCAATTAAAATACTGAAATATTTAATACATTCCATTTTTCCCAGGAGGTCAAAGCAGCACATATGGGGTTCCCTTCTCCTTTTATCTCAACAACAAACCTATAAGGTAGACTGAGCTAAAACAGAATG